CTTAGATCATGGGATATAATCTAACTGCTTCCATCTAGATTTTAGATTGCTTCAATTAACATTGTTAATGTTAAGATATCTTTTTATCGCAGTAAATGTTTGTATTGTTTTTTTTGTATTAAGAACTATGATAAAGTTGTGCTGTAATAGAAGAAGTCTTAAAAGTTTCAAAGATATTTTGTTTTGTTGATATATTGTATTCTGGGTTATAGTCACAGTCTTTCCTGACGGGCCATTTTCGATTTGACATAATACGAATACGTAAATATGCTGGTCTCTTATTTTCAATGTGCACTGAGGCAAATACAGTGTCTACGTTTGTGGTGTGATGAGAGCATCAACAACATGAATGCACTGATCCATGGATGGTGCTTAGTGAAACATAATACTTGTATTGCACAATCTTCCCCCATCCCACTTTTGAAGCAGCCTGCACCGAAATCATTTTCTGCACTATCAAAACTGAGACAAAAAGGAAATAAATGTTTCAAACCAAAAAGTTTATCAACCACTTTGGCCCAAACTTGAGCTGTCAAGGTTACCCTTTCCTTTCAACACTGAAGAGAAGCACTACAGAAAAAGAGATTGTGCACATTTTCTGTTGCTTATTCTCTTCACAGCTTTGCTTGATTGGCTCTTCATCAATATTGGGTGAGGCACTGCCAATGCTGGTTCTCAGAGCCCGAGAATGTGGATCCATCAACAGACACCTTTATTTAAATGGGGAAAACACAAGAAGAGCACTACCATCCTTGGGGGTATGGTTAGGCAGGCAAAGAGCTGGGAGGAAGGTTAGAAAGACACACAGAAGTGAATGAGAGACAAAGAGAGGCTGAATGTTTTATTTATTAATATATTTGCTTTTTTCCAGAAATGTTTAATCGGCTTTTGGGCCACTGTAGCACCCAATTAGCATGCCTGTTACATGCAAACACAAAGAACTAATTGGCCTGTGAGGGAGTAAGCAGCACGGCCCTGAAAGGAGAAATGAGAATTCATTTGAAGATCTGTAGCTCCAATAGTGCCACGTTGGGAGGCTATTTGGCAAATGGCTGTAAATAACATTATGCAGTTTCAATTGCAAATATTATTTTTAGTTTCTTGCACTCTTTATTGCCAGATGGCCTTGCAAACAAGAAAATAGAGTTGCAATAAGGTTTATGGGCTATCAAAGAAAAGCAGCTGATCATCAGATTGTTTTTCTTTGATCCACAACCTCTATGTGCACGATTGTCTCCTGATAAAGACACAGAGATAAATCATCCAATCAACCTCAAAATATGAATGCACATTGTACATGTCAACCAGAACCTGATATACATTTATCAGACCTATAACATGTATGCGGTTTATTGTTTTGTAATTTGTTTAAAATAAGAGCTCTAATATTATTATTTCAGCTACAAACTAAGATATAAACAGGTCATTGTGCTAATGATAGGCAACAGAAAAAAAAAACTAATCCAAACTATAACACAGAGATAATGATAAAAGTAATATAAAAAATTTCTAACATCTTTAAATTTGAATCACTGTAATTAATATGAATTAATGTCATTATTTAGTCAGACAATAATTTTTCTTTAAAGTTTTGGTAAACAAAGAGAAAACTTGAACAGATGAGTAATTGAACATTTGAACAGTAATGATCTGCAATTTAGGCAGGAAAGTCTACTGACAGGCTAATATAGATATATAGTGCAACTTAAAATCTCTTTACATATTTCCGAAAAAATAAAGAAAACTATGCTTTCTCCATGTTTTACTTTATGAAAAATCAGGCTGCTCTGTTTTCTTTCACTCCTGCAGTTAAATTCATCACGTCTTTTTTAATACTTCATTACATTTTTAGCAGCAAATGTGTTTTGGCTTAAGTAGATATCAAACCATTTTTAATATTCCAACCTTTTCTGTCCAGAAATAAGTAACATACTGTAGTGTTCATCATAAACTTTAGACTAATTTGACGTTCAACTCTTTAGCAGTACGTAAATCGATGTAAATTCTCTGCATGAAATAGGAACACAATGTTATAGCACTCAGACTTTTTTTATATCTCAGATATTCAAACAAAAATATATTAGTAGCTTCATCTGTGAATAATGAACAACTTTATTTAGAGAAAAAGGTTTCCCTTTTCATTTCTTAGAAAAAGGACTCCTTTTTTAATTCTGCATTCTGGAGCTATATAAAACATTTTCTTAAGGGAATATGTTTTTTTCTTGTTTTTCGAAGACTGAGTTAATGTTATTCTTCACTCAAAATTGCCCCTTTCATAATCTTGCAAAAGAGGTTAAATATATATCCAAATGTTCTTTTTCATTTTCTCTAAATAGCCTGTTTTCACAAAGTAAAACATAGCACAAAGCCTAAATAAAAATATTAAGAGTTGCTTTAATTAAGTATGGTAAATTATGCTTTTAAAATTATCACATATGTATCCCGTGATTCACTTAAAAAGGTATCTGAGTTGCAACATCATCAAAAATGTCCATTTTTATTTGTAGTTCATTGCTTTGATGAATAAAATGTGTGATATACATGAATTACAATTACATACAAAAATGTAATGACTTACTCTAAATATAACAACTTATATTGTAACATATATACAGAATGCAGCTTATATCATGGCTGTTTTTTGCCACTACCTTATTGTCTAATTGCATATTTGTAGGAATGCACTGCATTATTAATATGAGCACTCTAGTTGTGATTTTGGAGACCTATGTTTTAAAATTGAGAAGGAAATTAAATAAGTTTTAATAGTTTCTATAACCACAAATTTAGAAATAAATTGTTGAATGAGGATAATTTTTTTGATGATATTCCAACAAAGAGCTATTGTGAAACTTGTAAAAACACTGCTCAATTTATTTACTTAGTTGAAATGTTATCAAAGCTTCAGTTTTGTATCTTGTCTGTGAGGTTTGTGTTCTAATACATCACAAAATGACTTGAACTCTTTGTGTTCTGGTCAATTTATGTCTGCTGCTTTGGTTTAACTGTTTAATTTAGGAGTTGGGAATTACAGAAAGTAAACTCTGATTTTTGTTACAATAAAAGGATCAAACTGCAGTGGGTATTTTTCTTGATTATGTTATAGTCTTTGCAGTGATCATCTAAAACTGTTGATCAAGCCTTGAAAGTGAATATCACCTCGTTTTAGTTTCTCGTTCAAAACACTTCCTCTGGTTTCCATTTTTTACTACAAATAGAGAAGAGTTGTGCCAATATTACTCCTGCTATATAGTCATGTAGCATTTAGCTACTTATGTAAAAAATTATCATCTGTTCTCTGGAGAGAAAATTTACTTCAAATGTCACAAGTGTTATTAAAAGTTATTGTGCATTTGTTTGTCTGACACTCACACAGCCACAAGTGAACTACACAATCATGTCTGCAACGCTGGCTGGAGAAGTTGCCAAAATGGCAGCATTATGTGCCTGTGCATCTCAAACCGTTAGGCCATGACAGTGACAATGAGGCTTGTCCAGAAGTGTCACCTCTCCCAGTCTTTGTCTGTCTCTGCTTTTCTTCAGCTCCCTCTGCTTTTTTCTCTTTCCCTGCCTCTGTCTCTCTCTCTCTGTGTTTCAGCCTCACACCCACACACAAAGACAGCACATCTTTATTAGTTGTCTGTATGCGGGCTGTGCTCAGCCTGAGATTGCAGGACTGACCCCTTGCTGCGAGCTATACAGGGGAAATGTTTACTCAAACCCCACAGAACATGCCATTAACCTCTTCCTAGATAGAAGACAAACAAGACTGTCCCTCCATGAGGGCAATAAAGACAGGCACAGCAAGGACCATCATGGCAATCATCTCATTATGAATCTACAGGAGGCAGCAAGGAGCTAGAAAGCTTCGTCTCCCGGGGGATACTTTCTCTGTGGTGTACCGGTGTGCCTAACATTCAGTAAAGTGTATACGAGATTCAGCAAAGTAATAACAACTAATTTACCTAAAAGCCGTGAACAACATGAAACTCTACAAATGGATCAATCACCTCTGCTCATATTTATGAACCAGTCATAAATTACTCCTCCTTAACTACGTGCCTCATGTCTCATGCGGCTTTTTTTGCTGCACCCCTCTCTAGAGATGTATGAGGATGTCTTTAGGCTGCTACTAAGCCTCAACCTGGGAAGTTGTCCTGGTGGTAAAAGGAAAGGAGGGGGCAGAGGTGCCTGATGTGAATTCTAGGCAGAAAATAAAGTTCTCGTTCTTAGGGTCCTGCAGGCAGTACTTCAATCAAACCAGGATAACTCCCCCATGTAAGACATAAATTCCGCTCCAACACATTGAGGACATACAGACAACAGGGGCTCATGTTCATCCCAAATGGGGAACCCTTCTGGGTGGGCTTAAGAACCGACAACAGGGTATGTTTTACCTATGCCATTTTAATAGGTTTTTACTTAAATCAAAAGAGCTACCTGTTGCCACAGGCTAGTGGGGGAAAAAAAGGAAGAAAGGTAGATATTAAAACAAAAACACCAGATGGCAAAAGGCACAGTAAAAATTATTGTTTATACTTACTGTTTGATTATATGTGATAATAAGAATGGGAATCCTCAAGGCAATTAGTGTCAACAGCGGCGGAGAGGACAGGGGAAGGACAGCACGAGCTGTTATGAAGGAGTGCTTATCAAATATCTCTGGCGGGGTGATTAGTGTAATAAGACACTGCAAGGTGAGATACGCCACTGACAGTATTTTACCTTCACTGTTGATGTGGGTATGAGTAGTGTGCGAGAGGCAATTTATGCCTGAATGTAAAAGAAACAGAGGCATTGAAAACAAAAATGATTAAGTTTGTCCATCTGTTTTTATATCCGTGCTCCTGTACTCAAATGTGGATCTTAATATCCACTGTGTCCCTGTGAGGACCTGTTTATGTGGCTGAAAGAGCAAAATTATTTTTATGTGAGTGTCAGCTCTACAAGCAGCAGTAGCAAATTTGGCCCTTGACGGAGGGCAGATTGGGGGTACTTACCCCTGGCAGCGTCTTCTGTTCATGAAGGGCGCTCTGGGCTTTCAGTGCTGACTCTCTGGCACAGTATGTTAGAAAGGCACATCCTGTGGAACCATGGAAAAAATAAAAGGTTTTATTAGATGAAAGGAAGAAAATGCATGTGTTCCTTTTTGAACAACATTAAATAAATATGAAAAAGGTTAACATTTAAATGTCTACAAAAGAGGCAAACACTGCAAAAATGTATCTAAAAAAATATGTTAAAGTTTTTTTCAAATAAGTGTATAGGTAAGATGATCTGCCAATGAAATGAGTATGCTTGCCTTTAAAATAAGATAATTAGATATTATACACTTAAAATAGGATATGGGAGTTGGTTTTTGAATGTTTTAAAGATAAATAATCTTGTTCAATTATCAATTTGTCAAATTTACTCAATCAAATCAAGGGAAAATATACTTATTTCAAGAAATCTTGACTATAGCCTATATATATTTTTTTTTTGCTATGTTGACTAGCTACCTCTATGAAGTTATACTGAAGAATTAAAAGCTTATAGTTTCAAAACCACTTCAAGAATTTTTAATAACATGTTGGATTGAGGCCATTTTCTCAATTTGTAGCCATTCGTATCTCAATGTAACTGATCATGTTTCCTGTCCCTTTAAAGCTGCTTTTTTAAATTTAATTGTCAGTTTTCTAAGGTTAAAATCAACAGCAGAACTGCCCCAGAATTCGAGAGGCACTGAGAAAGGTAAGCAACAAGACATCACATTTTTATGAGGTTCTATGAACCACATTGCAGTTATAGGTTTGAGAATAAGCTACTTCAATATAAATGTTTTTGTTTTGTCTTTGTCTGCAGATATTTGATAGATACCCTGTCTCTGTTGGCAGCGCAAACTTTGATCACATTGCACCCCATTTAAAAAAAAATAACATTCGCAGCAAAACACAGCAAAGGTTTCTTTGAGCTACGTGACTGTTACCTCACCCATGCCCTTTCGCTGTGCACTGCCTGTCAGCAGGATGACAGTTAATGAGAACTTTTCCTTGCCTATAAGATAGACAAATATGCCTTTTTGGACATACTCTGAGTCACACTCATACTCATACTAAATACTTTAAAAATATTCTTCTGACATTACCATACCAGAAAAGTCTTAATCAAGCCAAACCCATTCTATTTTTACGCAAACAACACTGAGAAAACTGAATTTTAATTGAGCAGCTATAAAACAACACAATACAAATGTAAAGTGTAAGCAGTCACAAATGTAGAGAGATTTAAAATAGCATTAATGTAATTATTTTCCATGGCAAAAATAATAAGCCTTACTATATTTATAAATCCTGAGCAATGTTTCTCTTTTAAGTTAGTAGCCCCACAGCCTCAGAGAAACATAACGAGCAGTTCAAGAAAAGTATATCTTTTTAATGTAACAAGCCCTTTGATTAAATCTTGTGAACACTTGCCTAACTTCTAATAATTGCAAAAGTACTTATATAAATCTCATGTAAAAGAGACCAAGCAAAATTAAGTGAAAAGTCAGAGGTACAGCTGTAGAACCTTGAAGTTTGTTTAATTTAAATCATAGAGGTGATGAAAATGCTTAGTCAGCCTCAACGGGAAGAGTTTTTCTTTCCCATTTGTGAAAGAAATTACATTCACTGCTTTTTGATAAATGATTACTATCATAGTTACTGAGCTACAAATCAGTATGCACGATGATGAGCTGAAACTGTACCCACACATATCTCCGGGGGCTGCTCTTTGAAGTCGGGAAATTCAGGAGGCAAAATGTAAATACATAGTTTATGGCAAATACGTCTCTGACAAAAATGTGACAGCATTCATTAAAGGTTGAGTTGTTGCTCTGTTACGTGCTTGGCAGAGCTGACAATGGGTGACCCTGTTCAGAAGAGGTTTTGCACTGTGCAGCATAATTTCCCATTACTATATGTCACACCTACTGCCAAGGATTCCCATGGGGGGACTACACACAAACACACAAACATACATGCAAGCCCACACCCCTTGCAAATTCTGATGATAGCTTGCATGCCTAGCAAGCATCATCCCTAAAAAGCTAGAAGCACACCCTGGCACATGGCCAAAAGAGCTGCATTTCACAACAACCTTCATCCACCTCCATAACTAGGCAGTTACTCAGGAGGAAAAAACACCTAAATGACACTGATGAACCAGCACGGCACACAACAGAGCAGAAAAGTTTGGGAGCCTGGGGAAACACTTGTCATCCTTTGTGTGACATTACAAAACTGTTGTACATGAAGCAGGGAAATCTAAAGGGATGAGTCCCAAAAGAAACTCATTGGAAGTGTAGGCTAAGCCGACACTCATCTAGTCTTGCTTTAACATAATCTTAAGATTTCTTTTTTGTAATAAACTCTGAGCCATGTTGACTATCAGCCAATGACATATATTTTTTATGTTTCATTTTCAACCCAGATTTACAACCATATTTATCAAAAAATCTTTCCAAAGCAAAGCTTAGCTTTGCTGATTTAACACCCTAGATTTTAATCGATCACACACTAAATACTTATTTGTCTGTATTATGTAAAAATGTAGTCTGGATTGCTTCTTTTACACCAGATTTGATTGATATAAAAAAAAAAAACATTTTAAATGTGATACTTTCTACTGCCAAGAGAAAACAATTCTAATTAAGCATCAATGAATATAATGTTAACCTAATGTGGATTTACCTAAAGAGATAGATACCAGCTGCAGCATTATTTAATTATGTCAAGCCAATGTCGCTTTAATCGTAGGGAGAAATTGAATTTAATCCTTATACAACTACTTCAGTGGACAACTTAACCTTATATATCTTTTATTTTAATACAGTTTTCTTATTCAGGTGAATCGGTTAATAGCAGATTAGTTTATTAATCTGAATAAAACACAATTTTCTGCACTTGATTAAAATCTTTATCAGCAAATTGGTTTTCAATTAAATATCTTTGAGCTTTAAGGCAGCGAAAACAGATTTTTTTTTTTTCATATGCCAAGTTATAGTTTTATTAGACACCTTTTATAATTATTTTATTGAGTTGTAGAATAACTTTCCGTGGGTAATTGTATTTAAGACAAAATCATTACTTGGTTGTTCACTGTTTACCTTGACTGTATCTGTGATATTGCATGATTACAGATACCCTATATTCTTACGCATTTCCATACATTTTGTCTGATATATTAAAATGTTAATGTTAATGTGGAATTTGACATTTTTGGCTCACTGATAAAGAAATGAATTTAAATTATGTAACTTTAAAGACACTTTCATCTGGAAGAGCACAGTGAGAATACTAATGAAAAGTTTGGTAAAAGAAAAAAAGGTGGAAGCATTATGTCTGCCACGCTTTAATGACCTGAATGTCATACAGAATATTTTGTCAGGAAGAAAAACAGATTTAATAAAGCATAAAAGCAGAACATAATCCTTAAAATAAATTAGGGTATCAATATCAGTAGCTCTACAGGCTTATCACCGACTTGCAATTGTTTTTTGCAAAACGACTCCCAACCGAGTTTTGAGTTCCTTTATTGTATCAATATATGGACAGACCTCTCAATACGTCAACATTTCTGTATTAATTATATGAATTGAATTAAACTGCATAAAATACATTTTATATGTATTATCTGGAATTGTGACTTCCTGAAAAAATATTTGGGGTGAAATAGGCCATATTACTCAAAAAAAAAATTACTGAATACTTTTTTAAAGGAAAGCTTGAAAGACTTGAAGAGTGGTTCTTTACGTGGCTCTTCTTTAATATGCTAAATGTGTTATTAATTCCTTTGACACCCTCAAAAATGTTTAAACCGCCCTTTGCAAAACTGATATCAAGCAAATATACACCAAATATATAGAAATCAGTTTGCTGAATTAATTGGGGGGAAAAATACAAGAAGATATTTTAGAAGATGTTATGAAATTAAGTTTGAGCTCTGGTGTTAGTTCTGCAGACGGATTTCTAACTTCCTGTGATGAACAGGTTAAGTGGGGTGAAAAAATACTTTGGTAATCAAATACAATTTACCACACCATAATTTAAGCAGGGGACAAAAGTTCAACCAATTCTATGCTAGGGAAATGGAAAAGTAAACCCTGTGAACTGGTTCAAAGGAAAAGTAAGAGAGGTGAAATCAGTCTCTGTACTTGAAAGACACATTTTGGGTAATTACTTTTTTTTTTTCCTTTTTGCCTATAATTATTTATCTTGAAGTGGAAATTGGCTTGCTATAACACATGCATGAATCCTTAAAAATGTATTTACCTATGTTTTATTTTTTTCTAAACATGCAGGTACTAATTGAAATAATTGCTTTACATATTTTGTTAAAAACAAAATGTATTAACGGTAACTTATTGCATAATACATAAATAATCTATTTCTCCTTTTGTCTCCAATACAAGTGTATGCAGTTGAATGTCAAAGGTGAACAGAGAAATTTTCAGGATTTGTCCAGCACACTCACGTCTGACTTGGCCTCCCTCTTACAAACCAAGCATCTCTCCATCTCTCCATTGTTCCATCTATCGACGTTTGAAGCGGCCTGTTCACAGCGTTATTTGTCTGCTCGCCTCACAGCCTCCCTCCTAATGATCAAAGAGGTCATCTGTAGACTTAAGCCCAACCTGTCACTCAGCTTACTCAGTCTTTCAGTCATTTACAAGCACTTGGTCTAAAACGTCCCTGTTGAAGATAAAGCCCAATAAAAGCATCATGCTACAGCTAAGCTGTATTTACTGAAATACTTTCTTTCTAAAATTCAACGCAAACCACAAGAGCCTAAGACACACTCTAAAATCTTTGTTTCCAAATCACAATTCTTCTGCAGTTTACTTTTCACAGTTTATTCACCAAAATGCTTGCTTTACACCAGTTTAACTGGCTATTTTTAGTCAATTACACTGCATAGACCAACCAAGGAGAGGAGAATGGATGAGGATATTTAAGAACTCTTTGTATCTCTTACTCCTGGCTGTGTGGCACAGCTCTGAGTCCCCCCTCTCAGCATCAGAGAAGGATTGATAGATAATGCTACTCAAGCAAAAGATTTGCCCCCCACTAACATTCAGCATGTCTGAACAATGCATGCACTCTGCCAGTGACACTAAGTATTATGATAATGTATGGCTCAGCAAAATGATAGATGTTAAACAGCTCGACCTGGCTGCACCACGCACTGATGAGCACCAAGCATGCCGATAGTGCCAAGTCATCCCACGCACTGCATAAGACTCCCCAAAGGCATGCAAACTATCAAATCAACATTAGAGGGAACAGCGTAGGAACTGCCGAAGAGGAAAGGATTATCTTTTAAATAAATCTAAAAGCACTCTTTGGCATAGCCGTTCAAATGTCCAGGACAACATGAGATGTATTTGTAATTCCCCAGAGATCCCCTTCAGAAACAAAGTAAGAATTTGCAGAGCACAAAACATCTGTTGAGATTGTTGCAGCACAAGTCACATGAATTAAATATAAGGAACTAAAGCATATTCCAATCTGGCCTTAAATCCAAAATTATGGTGCAGTGTCACAGAGCTTGAGCTGTGAGAATAAGGAAAGCAGCACATCACCGACTGGGTAAGATTTACTGAGGGACACGGGCAGCCATAGTCATCATTCACTAAAATAAAGTCAAAGTTTCTGAAACACCAACTGCAATTGCAAGGTTGATGTGTCTAAATGCAGATTTTAACATTTTAGTGATGAAGAAAAAAAAGAATAAATTTAGTTGTTTACTGTTCTAAGCTCAACTATATAAACACTTTAGCATATTATATATTAATATCTGCTAAGCTACATCATAGAAATGAGACATCATGACTGAGATATGCTTTTCACAAAATCATATTGGAAAATTAACACTATGATCTTTTAATAACCCAATATGCAACACATTAGCACTGTTTAAAGGTAATGGGTAAAAAAGCTGGGTTTTATTGATACAAGTCAATTTGCAGTTTAATGTTTATTTAAAATTTAAATTAGACATTTATTTTGTATAACAACCCAAAGAATAACTCATTTAAATTAAGTTTTCAGTCCATTTCTGAGTACAGTTCATCAGCACTCACCTGGATCAATTTTCTCATTTCATTCCCACTCTATTAAAGCTCCAGGTTTGTCTTTCCTTATAAATGTACATCATCCCCTTTGTTCCCATATGTATCTTTTATACTGTAGAATTTGTTTTTGTAACAATTTCAGACCATTCAGATTTTATTCTATCTTCAATGTGACAGATTTTGTTACCTATAATTTTTCTAAAGTTAATCCTAAGTTAATTGTTCCTAAACTTTGTCAACTACAACTTGGAATTTAATCAACAATTTTCTAGAGGCATGTTTCTCAATTAAAAGGGCTCTGGTAATGTCTGTAGAATATGCCTTTGTCAGAAGAGCAAGGTACTATATAGAGACTTAAGAGAATAAAGGGAAAATACTTGTATGGACCAATACTAAACACAATAAGGCAATTTATCCAATTAAGTTTAGAAAAATATATTTCTTTTACTTTTGTCATGTTGTGTTATGTTACCAAATGTTACTTTACTTAACTTTATTTGATGTTAGTTAACAGGATTTTTCTAGAAGAATGGGACATTTAGAACATTTCTAGCAGGACATTTCTGCTGGCTGAAATCGATAGAACCCAGTGGAGCTCATAATATTGGTTGGGGCAAAAAACAAAATGGTAGAAGAAAAAAAAAAATAAGATGCCATGCTTTTCTCCTAAGTATAAATTATATTTCCTTTGCTTAGATATTTCTGACTATATAATCGTATAACTTGATGTTTTTTGTCATTAAAATGCCTCCGTCCTGATGTATCACACATCATTACAGCAGGAAACCTGGATATGGTTTGGATGAATGGCCTCTAAAAAAAAAAACTCATCCGTATAATGCATGGGTGACACCCAATTAAAAGTACATGCATGTGTTTTCAAATTAACTTTGAATGTCACACAGGATGGAGCAGGCAAAACAGACATCAGAGTGGCCCTGGTAAAGGATTATTTGAACGTGTATACAGTAGTTTCAGAACAGGTTTAGCCCTCCTCGTAATACCTATTCTCATGAGTGTTGACATTCAGGTATGGTTGAACATGGCCACAAAGAACATGAACACCAAGGAGATTGTTTTAATCGATTGTCGAAAAAGATCTGCGGAATGAGAAGCAGGAGCGGCCGAAGGCTGGAGGAACAGGTGGTGCATAGATGTCTTCAGGGATACACACACTGAGCAGCAAAGCTTAGCCCGCTGTTCATCTCTCCCACAAAGGCACACAAACTGCGTTAAGCAATGAGATTATGAACTGCATCCACTGTCTTACATGTTATACATACATTAGAAAGCTTTTACAACAATATTCAGAAGACTGAGTTGATAATTCATTTTCATGATACATTTATTATTTCCTCTTTGATTAGATGACATGATTGTCAGTATATGGTAACTATGTAATCAAGATTAGAGTTATATAAGGAAAGGAAGGTGAATATATATATATATACATATATATATGTATATATATATATATATATATATATATATATATATATATAATTTGATGGCTCCTTCAAATCATTATGTATATTTAACAAACTAAAAGTAATAAACAGGTAACAGATAATAAACTATTATTATTATTATTGTGATGAATCATTATTACTAATGGTACAATGTTTTTAGAATGTGTGTCTAAGTCACATGTTTTATTATTATGACTTTCATGCTTTTTTTTAACACCTTACCCCTTTTCTTCTATTGTTTTTTTTTTTTTTACAAGGATATAATTAGGTCTTTGATTGATCCCAGATGATCACTGTCCTGTCAACTAATTAAAGAGTCAGGACAGACTCCGATCGTTTTGGATAATAAGGGGGTTGGTTTAAAGGGTGTGGAGAGAATTTGGACAGATCAAGCCAAAAGACGATGAGCGCTGGAACTCAGCCTCCACTATTATCTCGCCTTGTGCTTCCTGACTGCAAAGCCGCCCACGCAGCACCATTACAACACAGCTGCCATGTAAATAGTATTTTCACACAGTTAATGACATCCGAAAAGTAAGGCAGCCTATCAGCCTGCTAAAAGGTCAGAGCTGCATGCCAGCACCACCTTAATCACTAAGGCTGATTGCTTGATAATGGTTTATATTTTCCACTCAGGAGAAAGCACTTATTTCTATCTGACAATGAGCATCAAATGTCTTTTCTTTTGTACAAGTTAAAAAGAAATGCATCTACAAAGAAGCAGCTTCTCGTGGCCGTGACTGTCCCGCCCCCTTCACCGGCCTCACTAGGATGCTCAGCACACGAGATTCAATGTAAACACACAAAGGCGTTTTCAGCTGTAGTATTCACGTGGACTCGCTGATCGCTGGATGCCGTAATAATAAGCACACCAGTTTCCACGTGTTTTGTTATATATATATATATATATATATATATATATATATATATATATATATATATATATATATATATATATATATATATATATATATATATATATATATATATATGTGAAGTACAACTACTTTCCGACCTCTGCCCCACTGCTGAGCCGGGATATTTTAATTTCCGTTACTCCTGTATCTCTCAGTATGTACTCTTTCTGTATATTGTGTGTGCACTGCATCTCTCCACGGAATCGCAAAAGTAAGGAGAGCAAAGCAACCAACCTTTATGCATTCCCGTAAACCTGTCTTTCAGTACAGTGAGTTCATATATCTTTCCGAATTCCTCAAACAGGGGTTTCAGGTCTTTTTCTTCCAGGTTTCTGGGAATCTGCCCGATGAAAAGCTTGATGGCGTCGTGGTCCTTCATTGGAATGGTGTTCTGGCCGATGGTAAGCCCGTTCATCCTGCCGGCGCTGTTCGTGGTGCTGAATCCATTCTCCTGCTGCACTCCGTTTGCAGTGACTGTAGCCATCTTTCCTCAATGGGCCGGCGGGCTACACTCTCTCTCTCTCTCTCTCTCTCTCTCTCTCTCTCTCTCTCTCTCTCTCTCTCTCTCTCTCTCTCTCTCTCTCTCTCTCTCTCTCTCCTGCACAGTGTCACAGTGTACACCCCCTCCCTTTCGTTTTGTCTCCCTCTCTTCCTTCCCACTCCTCCTGTGGTTCGTCTCGCTTCCCCTCCTTTTTACAACATATGAGTTGGCTTGTTTGGAGTTAGTCGTGCTTTAAAAGTACTTTTATTTTCGGGTCGTCTCTAGCCACGTCCTATATCCCTTACTGACTGCCACTGTGTCCGGTAACATCAGTTTATAGTTTTGTGATTAGACCACGCCCTCTTGTAGATTTACATCAGGAGTTTAGTCCAGACGAACGCGATAATACAATTCCTATCCATGGCCACCAAGGCAACGTTAGAATTGAAGCTCTTAAGAAAAATAAAATATTTGGGATGTTTGAAATGTGTTGCCATAACTCCACACCATCTGTGAATCTTTCCTTATTTTTTACATACAACCACAAATATCTAAGTATTTTGTTTTTTACCTCTATGTCTTTGAAAAACAAATTAAGAAAGAAAAAAAGGAAGAAAGAGATTATATATTCCATTATTTTTAAAAATCAAACTCGGAAATAAATGAATATGAATATATTTCCCTTCAAAACACACATAAATAGTCGAGATGACTTGTGTGTTTTGTAATAGCATTATGAATAACACAGTTCTGTAAAGGCCACACACAATATTTAGCTTACAGTAACAGTAGCATCATGATAAACGATAAAAACACCAGATAGTTCAGGGCTAAAGCTGTAGATACGTTTAAATTAGGGATAGGTTATAATTATAATATCACAGTCATTCAACATTTCACAGAAATCATATATCATCCATTTTCTGAAAAAGGAAATAGTTATCTTCTTAAACCGATAGGCATTGTTAGGAAAGCATAAATAATAGACAGTCAGTTGGTCCATGGTAACTGGAAGACATGCAAGGCAAATAAGATCTTGAATACTTTTTATCATGACAAACAAGATTTTACTCAAAAACTACAGATCCAGTTACGTGATAGTAAAGGAAAAAAAAAGGTCCAATCTATTAAAGTAAGTTCTAAAACATACTTCATGTTCATGGAATAATATTTTTTACTTTTTCAGCTCTGTTAAAGTTTTTTCACTGCAAGCGCCAACATGATTGCTGTGAGTTAGGGTGAATATTATTATCTATGTGGGAGAAAAGAAACATTTCGGAATAAGAGCAACAGCGTTGATGCTACACCAAATTGTTTCAATGTCCTATAGGTAACTGTTTATAATGTTAAAAATGTAAAGTACCTTTTGTTATTTCTAATTACTTGTATTAAATGTTGTAAAAGAGTATTAAATTATAGATATTGCAATAGTCAAATTGTGTACAACTAAGTTTACTTAATAAATCCAAGAAAAAGAAACAGAAACACATATTCAAGTGTTTCCCTAAAATAGCCTTTGTCTTTGTTTTTTTTGTGTATTTTTTAAGTTTTCATTATTGAAGACATTTTATATAGAACATTTTATGTATTTAATTTATCCTTCTGCATCAGTTAAAAAAGTTTTTTTGTTTTTTTTAAACAGCATAAAGTACATTAGTTAATTAATTCTGCTCAAACAGTGGAACTGTGGTTTGTCACTGTCCGTGGTGCTGAATCCACACTAGTTTTCATAGACCATAAAATAGATTGTTAGATCTACAATCTTAACTGTACATGTTTGCTCTGCAAATTCCACATACCCTCCATCTGTCTGCTGTGCACATTTTTGTCCATTTTGTCACACACAATCACACGGCGGTGAATTCAGTGCCACTCTTTGGAGAGGGTTCGTTTTTCATGCAGCAGGCGTTCGGCCTACTCGTATCTTCTTATCTCCACGGTGCACAGAAAGCTTTAATTAATGCAGATGGGAATGCAACATCAATACCAGACTAGCCTAGCTTCTTCCGATAATAATAAACATGCCTGATATGACTGTCATTTCTATGGATCTTGCTATATATCAATTATTGATTTTTGTGTGGCAAGTTTTCTATATTGATGTCAAAACACTGCCCACTGGCAGTGTCTAGGATGCTCAGAACTGCAATTTAGATTGCTTGGAAGTGTCTCTCACCTCCAAGCAGTGTTTATCTGTACCTGGGCCTGACCTTCAATCTTTGCTCTATTTGAAATTTTGAGAGTAAAAAAGGTTGTCTGATATCATTAAAGGATTTATAAAAAAGCTTTCGCACAGAAGTGCATTCAGAGAAAATGCCTAACCTCTGCTTAGCTGTAAATAAATGGATATAGAAAAGATATAATCAAACAGTAATGATAAATTTTTTCCCACAATTTCTGTTAATTAGGACAATAAGGCAGTTTCTGTTTAATCCATGTACTCTATCTATCTATCTATCTATCTATCTATCTATCTATCTATCTATCTATCTATCTATCTATCTATCTATCTATCTATCTATCTGTGTGTCTGTCTGTCTGTCTGTCTGTCTGTCTGTCTATCTATTTATTTTTCTATCTATCTATCTATCTATAACAAGTGATCATTTGAGAGGATCTGTTTAATTGACAGGTGTTGAAAAAACAACAACTATTTGGTCGCTTGATAGTAGGGGAGTGTGTTTTGATGGATTACAGTTCTCCACGCTGTACGGGACGTTCAAGTGTGGGCTCGCTCCTGATGTTTGTCAGAGTAAAATGGTCTTTTGGGGACTTTTGTTTTTTGGAGAGCAACACTAACATCTGGTACTGCATTTTCTTTGTTCTGAATATTTATTTATTTTCTGTTTGTTCACATCTAAGTACTCCTCAAAAAACATTATGCATGTTTTTTTTCTAAATACAACAGGTCTCCCTTGGTAAAACCACCAGGGCCACTGTTTCCCAGAAACACATTGCTAATTTAACTGCCAGCTTATTAGGTATGTGATTTTGATGTTCTGCTTTTGTGCTTTCTCTTGAAAATAGTTGGCCTGCACAGCTGTGCAGAACGCAAATTGCCAGTAAAAAGAAATAAAGGTACTACATGATCTTTCTCTTTATGTCTATGTCCATGAAACCTGCATGTGTGTACACATGCATGCATATCTAAAATGTTGACAAGGTTCTCCCTCTCTACCAAACTCAGGACCTAGATGAGGTCGCACAGGAAACATCTCCTGATTGTGTTTTTATTTGGTTTTTAAACCACAGAAGAATAGCAAGAAAATCAAAAAATTTTGTCAAGTGGAGGCACAATTACCACAGAAGGGCCACACAAATGAGGAAGGACTATCAGGAGTATTGAAATCCTGGAACTACATTTTTCTCTAATTATCCTTCTATTATTTTGTGATGAAAAATAAATGTCCACAAACCTAACTCAGACTGAAACTAAGAAAGTAAAGTTGTAAACATGCTGAATGTGTCTTAAATCATTTCCAGAAAATTGCAAACAATACTTACCCCAGATGGTTACATAGGTAGATCTCCACTTTCCCGCAACTGAGTGCCATATCTGTTTTCACCTACATTTTTCACACAACTGTCAAAGTGACTTGATGGAACGTCAAAAATAAATAAATAAAAAATATAACACCTGAAGCTGCTTCAAGAAATATAGTTTCCTTAAAAAGCCAAAGGTTGACACAAGTAACACATTGTGCAATAATAGCTAAGTGTTATGCACAATTCCTCTATGCTGCCTGTTTATTATCCCATTAAACCGGAAAGATCTAGAAGGCCAAGTTCAATGCCGTCATGCATGAACATTTTCCATGTCTGTTTTTCAGAACATAAGTCCAAAAGGAGAGCAGACATTGATATTCATGGCACAGCCAGCTCGAGGTGCGACAGTATTTTTTGTGAATCTGTGAGTGCATATGGAAATACTGGAGCTGCCTCAAACCTCAACTGCAGTCTTTGCCTGAGGGAGGGGTACATTTGTTCCCCCAAAGACACTCACACACACAAAGATGGACGTACATGCTCTGGAAGATAAAGAACCACTCACTCAAAAGCCATAATTTTCTGTTAAAACACAATTTCCTGGCAGTTCATTTGCTTTTGTGCCGCAGGGAAAAACACATGAGTGATTGCTGAACAACGTTCCAACATTGTTTTGGTAAAATTAAGTTGTGCTCATTTATATTTTGAATAGGTAAATTACATGTCTTTTTTTTTCTTTTTTTTTACTTTAAGGCTTGTGTTTTATGTGCCCTACTGTTGTTTTTCTGTGGAAGACTAAGCAGGCTCCTTCCTGCATGTTTAAGTTTACCACTGATGCAAAGTGGGGAATAAATAAGAGAAAAACAAATAAGAGGTCATGGAGACCACAGTGAGTCATCTGCCTTCTGAAAACTAATGAATCCAGCAGTCCTCTGTATGGAGCTCCCCTGAGTACCATCCCACCAGTTTTTCCTTCTGCATGTAAATGCAGTGTTTTGCTTTTAGTTTGTGTTTGGACTAAAAATATTTTTTACTGTATATTCAATATTTGTGGGCGGTGAATATCGTTTACCACCAAAACTTTTCAAAGGCTTAATAAGTATATTAAACATTTGTGAACTTTATATTTCATGCATATTGTGTGAAAAAAATTGAAATATAATATTCGAATAAAGCATAGCATCATAAAAGCAAAATTAAAAAAAAACACAAAAAAAAACCAGCATCTTATCTGCGGAAAAACATTTTACATGTGAAAGGTCCCCCAAATTTTACTTCACATGTTTCTACAAAGCATACATTTCTATATCAGAAACACTTTAGGAAATCTGCTTTTTTTGACCAAATAATAGTTTCTGAAATAATCCCAACTTCTAAAACCAAAACGGGAAAACATGTTGCATATGTATATATATGTATTTCCTTTTCATATATTTTTTTTTCTACTCATGTTTCACCTTATTTTCAACATAAACCAACACAATCTCTACTATTAAAACAAATGGGGAATTGTGATT